TTATATACTATACTATAATATATGGTTTTATATAATATAACATTATATATATAATATGGTCTTATATAATATAATATAATGTTTACATAATACAATATATTTTATACATATATGTATAAAATATATGGTTTTTGCTTATCTAAATAACTTTTTCGTTACTATACTAGTAATATATACATTGCCATCTTGGGAATAAATCATAACATAAAACTGGCAGATTGTTGAGAAAATACAAATTTTGCCAATTGTCCTTTAATCAAAGACCTTAACTTTCTGGACCCTCTTCTGTAAATCAGGATTTCCTAATTCTTATGGATCAAGCATCATTGGATCAAGATGTTTCCACTTTGTCTTCCAACTCACTGTAAATTGGAGAATATATGTTTAATTCTTCATAAAGACGATCATCTGGAATCTGACAAAGGAAAAAAGTCAATCAGTCAATCAAACAGAAAGAATTTCCCATCACCAAACCTGTTCTAGGGGCTTAGGTAAGTATATGTGTGTTTCTGAATTTTGTACTTTCCCCCATTATACACTAATTATTACCTCTGACTCCAAAAAACAAAGTTCAGTTGGTGGCAACATGGATCCAAGTGGCCAAATAGACCCAAAAGAAATCATGTCAGTCAATGACTATTTTGTATCTGAACTTTGTTATATCTATGGTCATATTAATCGTTGGAAGAAGACCATCAATAAAGACAGGTTGAAAGCTTTAAGAAAGCAGACAGATGAAGAGGATGAGTTTCATCTGGCATATTTGAATAAGTATATGTGCATCAAATATTGACTGGTATAGAGTATTCCAAAATAATATATATGTTTTTTTAATTCAGATTCAACTTGTACTTGAGGAAGAGTTTCCACATATATTATCACAGTTCAGTACATACACATATATACCTTTAAGGAATAACAATAATATTATATGTTGATTTTTTTCACAGCTGACTGGTGTTATTTGAAGTAGAGGAATTAAAGAACATTTTATTTATACTATATTAACACAGTATATTATGTTATTATTATTTGCTCTTTGTTTCCCTTCTCTTCTGAAAACTCTTTAAGAAATGCCACCAAATCTATAATACTCTCTTCTATAATACTCTCTTTTGTTTTTTTTTTTTTTTTTAATGTTTTATTGTGAATTATGTTATAGTTTACTTGGGAGAACATTGGTTTTACATTCATTCTATTGTATATCGTCTCATTGCCATGGTTACAATCCCCTCCATGCAATCCTTCCCCTGTGCCCCCAGGTCTTGAGCACACAGTCGCTCTCCCTCTCTGGATCTAAAGTCTCCAGCTGCTCCATTGCTCCACGTCATCATCTCTGGCTCCATTTCAGGCATCATTGCTTCTCTGGGTAGGGTCCCGCTCTTGGCTCTTCTCCCTTGATGGTCCTAGGGACCTCCGCTCCTAGACTGAAAAGTTAATCTCTCCCTTCCTTGCTATAAAACGTCTACCTTTACATTTCCAACCCTCACAATCAGTCCTGATAACAATTATTCACCATTGTATCACAAGAGACCCATCTGTATTTCATTGCATCAGCCCTGCCTAGTCAGATTGAATACTACACACTGGAAATTGTACCTTCCTCCAGGCCTTCTGGATCTAGGTTCCTTCTTGAAAGCTTGTAAGCCAGTCACTTCTTGCCTTTGTAGTCCCCACTCCCCATTTTGGGTAGCTAATGTCCAAGTTGCCCATCCCTGTCTACTCTGTGTGTGGAGGGGGTGGGGATGATTCTTGCTGTTAGGACTTGTTCCCTCTTTTGAGCTACTGCTTCCATAGGTGTAGGTCAAGTTCATCAAATTTATAATACTCTCTTTTAAACTTAGAGAACAAAACTAGAACAGTATTTTTCATATTGTAACTCCAATATCATAAAGTCAGAATTTTAATGGTAAGTTTTCAGAATTTGTATTGTTATTGTCAAGTCAGAGCCAACTAATAGCAAACCTATATAGGGTTTCCAGGGGGTAGCTGGTGGGTTTGAACTACCCACTTTGTGGTTAACAGTCCAGTGCTTATCCTACAAAGCCATGTTAGGACTCCTAGAGCTTTCATTGGTGAACCTAATGCATTTTAGTGCATGAACCACAAGGTTGGCAGTTCAAACCCACCAGCCACTCCTCTGAAACTCTATGCAGTATTGCTAAGAGTCAGAACTGACTTGAACAACACTTAAAAACAACAACAACAACAACTCCTATTATAGGAATATTGGTATGGTATTATAGGATAAGTAATGGATTACAAGGCCTATTTGAATTACAAACTTGGTGGTTCAAACTCACCAACTGCTCCTTGGAAACCCTATACAGGGTCACTATGTGTCGGAAGTGACTCGACTGCACTTACCAATAATAACAACAACTCTTGTTGTAGCACTTATAGAGAACCGTTGGATGATTCATGCAAGTATAATTAGTGAGGGTTTCATTTCTTTCGGTGAAATTGGAACCCTGGTGTCCTGTGGTTCGGCTTTTGGCTACTAGCCAAGAAGTCAGCAGTTTGAGCCCACCATCTATTCCCCAGGAGTAAGATGTAGCAATCTGCTTCCCTAAAGATTACAGTCTTGGAAACCCTGTGGTGCCCTTCTACTCAGTGGCATCTAGGAGGATGTGGGGGATGCAGACCACACTAGGTGATGCTCTCAGAGGGGGCGTCTATAAAAATTTTATGCAATGTTTCAGCAGAATTTTTTTGTTTTTACTAGAAATTCTCTGTAGTTAGCTAAAAACAACAACAAAAACTATGACCAGCCTACAAGTATCAATTCACCTACAAGACAAAAACGCTACACTAGTTTACTTTATGAGTCATCTAATGCGATCAATTACACTCTCATTACTGTTCAATCACAATGACACTTCAAGTCACATGGTTTCAGCCGCAACTGTTACAGCCTAAGCTATTGTTTTTGTTGCTACCATTAGTTTTATAGGCACTGATTTTATCAGATTTTCTAATGTTTTAATTATAACATGGTGATAGTATTTGTGAACTTATATCAGTAACTTTTTTGAGAATTAAATGGTAATTAATGGAAAAGAAGAAGAAAAACGTTTTAAAGATAACTGCTTAGTTACTAATAACTTCTGCAACTTTAGCTTAATGATGTTTGTTAAATTTATTCTAATTACTTTTGTGGTTGTTAAGTGCCGTCAAGTCGGTTCCAACTCTTAGCCACCCTGTATAGGTTTCTGAGGAGTGGCTGGTGAGCTTGAACTGCCAACTTTGCTGTTCAAAGCAACCTTGCAGTCCAGTGCATTAACCCAGGTCATGTATATTTCTCATTCCTTTGCACACTTCAGTTTTCCAGTTTCCTCACTAATGTAATCCCTTAAACTTAACGTATGCTTAAGGACTCAATTTATAGGTTAGTTCCATGTTTATCACCTCCCTATGTTTCTCCTGTCTTATATTTATCATGTGTTACTGTTATCATCCACCACTCATCTGTTAGTTTGTCACACTGTGATGGCTTGCATATTGCTGTGATGCTGAAAGCTATGCCACCACTATTTTGAATTCACCAGGATCACCCATAGTGTACAGGTGTCCTCTGAGCTTTCAGACTCACACAGACTCCGAAGAAGGAGAAGCAGACTATTTCTAAGTTTTAAGCCATTGAAAACCTTATAAATAGTACTGAAAAGCTGTCAGATAGCACCAAGTACTGAATATTGAAACCTGATGAATAGCACCAAAATGTTGTCAGATACAGTGCCTGAATGAGCCCCTCAGACACTCAAAGGATGATGAGGGAAGATCTCCTTCCCCAAAGTACAGTTGACCATGATGACGCCAATGGAGAAAGGCCTTCGGACTTTCATTTGTTGATGGGGAATAACTTAAAATGAGGAGAAACAGCTGTAAACATCCATTAATAATCAAAACATGGATTGTAGAAAGTATGAATCTAGGAAAATTGGAGGATGTCAAAAATAAAATGGAATGTACACACATTGATATGCTAAGCTGAAATGGACTGGTATGGGCCATTTTGAATCTGATAATCTCATCACTTAGTATGCCAGGAATGACAAATTGAAAAGACATGACATTGCATTCAACATCAAAAAGAACATTTCAAGATCTATCTTGAAATATAATGCTGTCTGTAATAGGATAATATTCATATGCCTATGAAGAAGACTAGCTAATACCATTATTATTGAAATTTATACAACAAGCACAAAAGTCAGTGATGATGAAATTGAAGAAGTTTATCAAATTCTTCAATCTGAAATGGATCAAAATGCAATCAAGAAGCATTGATAATAACCAGTGGTTAGAATGCAAAAATATGAAACAATGAGGAAGGATCAGTCGTTGTAAAATGTGGCTTCGGTGATATAAATGATGTTCAAGATCACATGACAGAATTTGGGCAGACCAATAACTTATTCATTGCAAATGTGTTTTTTAAGCAACATAAAAGATGATTATACACATGGAATTCACTAGATAGAATACACAGAAATAAAATTGACTATGTCTGTGGAAAGAGGTGGTGGAAAAGTTTCATATCATCAGCCAAAGCAAGACCAGGAGCAGACTGTGGAACAGACCATTAATTTCTCATATGCAAGTCCAGGCTGAAAATGAAGACAATTAAAAAAAATCTACCAGAGCCAAAATATGGCCTTGAACATGACCTACCTGAATTTAGAGACCATCTCAAGAACAGATTTAATGCAGTAGCCATTAATGACCAAAGACCAGAAGAGCTGTGGATGACATCATGAACATCATACAGGAAGAAAGCAAAAGGACGTTAAGAAGAAAAGAAAGAAGGAAATGACAAAAATGGATGTCAGAGGAGACTCTGAAACCTAGTCTCCATCTTACAGATGCTAAAGAAAATGCAAGAAATGAGAAGGCAAAGACGTGAACAGAAATTTTCAAAGGGTGGTTCTAGAGGCAAATTCAAAGATTATAAGGAAATGTGCAAAGATTTGGAATTAGAAAACCAAAAGGGATGAACACACTCAGTATTTCTCAGCTGAAAGAACATAGAAAAAAATTCAAGTACTGAAGGATTCTTTGGGAAAATATTGAATGATGCAGAATAAGCGCCAAAAGAAGATAGAAAGTATATACAAAGTCACTGTATCAAAAAAAAAAAAAAAAAAAGGTTGATTTTCAATCATATCAAGAGGTAGTGTATGATTAAGAGCCAATAATACAGAAGAAAGAAGTCCAAGGTGCACTGAAGATCTTGGCAAAGAATAAGGCTATGGGAATTGATGGAATACAAATTGAAATATTTCAAATAACTGATGCAGCACTAGAAGCACTCACTCATCTATGCCACAAATGTAGAAGACCTGGCCAACTGATTGGAAAAGATCCATATCTGTGTCCATTCCAAAAACAGGTAAACCAATGAAATGAAGAAATCATCTGACAATATTATTAATATTACACGCAAGTAAAATTTTGCAAAAATATGATACAAAAGTGGCTGCAATAGTAAGAGGCTGAGTCAAAAATTATCCACACTCTGGCTGTAGAACTTACTTTAATAAACTTTTTAAAAAGACAAATACGTGAATTGTTGACATAATCCCGTTTCTTTTCAATACACTTTGTCCATCTGTCAACAAGCTTTCATAAAAGTTTTTAAAATGTCAACTATCAGGTGCAAAATTGATACTTATAGTTTTCTGGGATTCTCAAAGACCAGTATTGGAACACTATCAGGAAAAATGTTCAACAATCAACAGTGTTTGTTACAGTGAGATGCTCACTGAAGAGGAAGCCTAAATTTCCGGTTAAACACAGAGGACTGCTATCCATTGTATTGTGATCTTCCATGACAATGCATGTCCGCACACCTCTGCCCACACTGCTGACATTCTGCAAAAAGTTTATTTTGAGATGTTAAAGCATCGTCCCTAAATCTTGATCTTGTCCCCTCAGACTTTCACCTATTTGGTCCCCTGAAAGCAGCCCTTCAGGGAAGAAGGTTCAACTCTGATTAAGAAGTGAAGGCAGTACTGTTTTCGTGGCCCACAGGTCAGTCTAAACATTTTGTAATAAGGGACTAAGGACGCTTTTTGATAGATGGACATAGTATATTAAAGAGCAAGGAGATAGTGTCAAAAAATAAATGCTACAGCCAGAGTGTGGATAGTGTTTGACTCACCCTCAGCTATTGACAGGGAACTGCCAGAGACTCAAGCAGGATACAGATGAAGACATGAAATGAAGGATGTCATTGCTGACCTCAGATGCATTTTGGCTAAAAGTAGAGAATACCAGAAAGTTGTTTGCTTGTGCTTTAGTGGCCATGCAAAGGCCTTCTACTGTGTGAATCATTATAAACTATGGACAACACTGCAGAGAATGAGTATTCCAGAAAACTGAATTGTGCACATAAAGAACCTGTACATAGACTAAAAGGCGGTAGTTTGAACAGAACAAGGGGACGTTGAATGGTTTAAAGTCAGGAAAGGTATGCACCAGGGTTGTATTAATTCATCATACATATTCAATCTGTATGCTGAGCAAATAATCCAAGAAGCTGGATTATATGAAGGAGAATATAGCATCAGGATTGGAGGAAGACTCATTAAAATCCTGTTATATGCAAATGATACAATACTTACTGATGAAGATCAAACACCACAGCCTTCAGTATGGGTTACACTTCAATGTAAAGAAGACAAACATCCTCACCACTGGACCAATAAACAACACCCATATAAAATGGAGAAAAGATTGAAGTTGTCAAAGAGTTCATTTTGTTTGGACCAACCATCAACATTCACAGAAGCAGCAATCAAGAACTCAAACAATGTAATGAATTAGGTAAATCTGCTGCCCAAGACCTCTTCAAAGTGTCTTAGTAATAAAAATGTAGCTGGAGATTACATGATAGAATTTTTCAGGAACAACGAGTCCCTCAATGCAAAAACCTTTTATTAACAACATAAATGGTGACTATACATGCAGACCTTGCCAGATGAAACACAAAGGAATCAAGTAAATTACATTTGTGAAAAAACACTATGGAGACACTCAACAGCATCACCCAAAACAAGACTGGGGCCAATTGTGGAATAGCCCATCAATTGCTAATATGCAAGTTCAGAATGAATCTGAAGAATATTTTTAAATAAATCCACAAGAATCAAAATATGACTTTGATTATATCCCACCTCAATTTAAAGGCCATCTCAAGAACATTTTGAATGCATTCGACACTAATGACCAATTGCCAGATAACTTGTGAGATGACATCAAGAACATCACACATGAAGAAAGCAAAAGGTCATTAAAACAAGCAAGAAAGTAAAGATTGAATGGATATTAGAGGAGATTCTGCAACTTGCTCCTAAACATAGAGAAACTACAGTGACTGGAAGAAATGACAAAGTAAAAGAACTGAACAGAAAATATCACAGGGCAACTTTAGAAGACAATGTAAAAGTATTATTAGGAAACGTGTGAAAACCTGGACTTAGGAAACCTAAAGAAAATAATATACTTGGCATTTCAAAAGCTAAAAGAAGTGAAGAAAAACTTAATTCCTCCAGTTACAATATTGAAGGATTCTACTGATTAAATAGTGCACAATACATGAAGCATCAAAAGAAAATGGAAGGGATACACAAAGAATTGGTCAATGTATGTACATTTCAGGAGGTAGCATATGATCAAAAATTGATGGTATTGAAGGAAGAAATCCAACTCGAATTGAAGGTAATGGCAAAACATAAGGCTCTAGGAACTGAAGAAGTACCAGTTGAAATATTTCAATGAACTAATGAAACACCAGAAGCACTCATTCATCTATACTAAGAAATTTGGAACACAAGTACCTGACCAACCAACTGGAAAAAATTCATATTGGTACTCATTCCAAAGAAAGGTAACCCAAAAGAATGCAGAAATCACTGAACAATATCATTAATATCACATGCTAATAAAATTTTGTTGAATATAATTTAAAAACAGTTGCTGCATTAAATTGACAGGAGACTGCCAGAAATTCAAGCTGGATTCAGAAGAGGACATGGAACAAAATTAATCATTGCTAATGTCAGATGGATCTTAGATGAAACCAAAGAATCCCAGAAAGATGCTTTTTTGTGTTTTATTGATTATGCAAAGGCATTCTACTTGTGGATCATAACAAATTATGGATAGCATTGAGAAAAATGGGAATTTCAGAACACTTCATTGTGTTCACGAGGAATATGTACATAGATCAAAACAGCAGTCACATGAAAAGAATAAATGTATAAAGGATGTTTTTTAAAATCAGGAAAAGTGTGTGTCAGGGTTGTATCCTTTCACCATAATCATTTAATCTGTATGCTGAGCAAATCATTTGAGAAGCTGGATTATATAAGAAGGAGGCATGAGGATTAGAAGTTTCATTACAACCTGGGATATACAGATGACATAACTTTGTCTGCTGGAAGAAAACAGGACTTATACACTTACTGATGAAGTTGGAAGAAGGCATCCTTCAGTATGGATTATAATTAAGTATAAAAAAACCATAATCCCTCACAACTGGGACAATAAGCAACATCATGATAAATAGAGGAAATATTGAACTTGTCAGGTTTCATTTTACTTGGATTCACAAACAATACTTAAGAAATCAAAGGATGTAGTGCACTGGACAGATCTACCACAAAAGACCTCTGTAAAGTGTTGAGGACTAAGATACACCTAACCAAGCCATGATACTTTCAACTGTTTCATATTCATGTGAAAATTAAACCATGAATAAGGAAGACCACACAAGAACTGAGGCATTTGAAATATAGTGTTAGGGAAAAATATTGAAAGTACCATGGACTGCCAGAAGAACAAACAAATCTGTATCAGAAAAAGTATGGACAGAAAGAACCTTAGAAGTAAGAATGGTGAGACTTCATCTCTGGTACACTGGGCATATCATCAGGTGGGACCAGTTTCTGGAAAAGGCATCATGCATGATAAAGTAGAGAGTCAGTGAAAAGGGGGAAGACAAGGAGATGAATTAACATAGTGACTGCAACAATGGACTCTAACATAAAAGTTGTGAGAATGACACAGAACTGAGCAGTGTTTCATTGTGGTGTTAGTAGGTCACTATGAGTTGGACCTGACTCAGCAGCACCCGACACCAGCAACATTCGGAGAAAGAAATTGTAGTCCAAATACCATCACATCAACACTGCATGCATGTTCATCTCTCATGCTCAAAACATGTTGTGAGATACCTGCATTTTCTAAAATCATAAAGATCCTATTCTCCTAACTCCAAATTAGAGGAAACTAACATGAGATCTGTGCTGTTTTGGGGGGGTTGTAAAATGTAAATTAAAACTAGAGATTTGCAAACTAACTTACTGAAAGACATAATTTTCTGCAAGAAATCTGAAAGACACATTTCAGAAAAATCTCAGGCCATGTTTTTAAAGTTAAAACTTAAAATGTCTTAACTGGGAAATAGTGCCAGGCTTAAATATCAGTCTGCTACTTACCGTAACTTTTTTGAATAATTCCGCAACTCCATAGACAATAAGTGGTACAGTACTGCAAAACTCCAAAATGGTGAGAAACAGGAGCAGCGCCACAACTTCCTATTTGAACAAACAACAACAACAACAACAACAACAAAAGGCAGTTAGAAAATATGTTATTTACATATTTAGAGTAAAAACAAAAATTTTAACCTAAGATGCTAAATTAGAGTATGAAAACTAAAAGCCACAAGAGATTCTAAGCCAGAAAACAGTTAATTTGCAACAAATGACTT